GATTCCTATTGAGCTTGGTTGTTGTTTTTTCACTGCTGACCCTACTTGCTGCACTGCTTTCAGTGATATGTGTGATTCACGACGCCTCGTCTGCTTACTTGTCTACAGTTTCCAAGAAAATGTTTTTCACCGATTAGTCGTATTTCGGGTTATTGGTCCCACATTCAGACTTACACTTTGCCTAGTTAAAAAGCAGCCCTGCGACCACAAGTGAATCAATGTTATGGTCACAGTGGCGGTGCTGGGAAGACCTGTAAGATATATAAATGTTATTGAGAGTAACTCATTATACAACATACTGAAGCCTTCAACCTAGACCCAGGGAAACGTAAACAAAGTATATTATGTCCTTAACAGGAAAAGATACAAAACTAAAAAGCTGGAGTCAACAACGTATTTATTCACAGATAAGAAAAACTGTCATGCTGTAATGAGACTTTCCACAAACAACAAGACGCCTCATAAAAAACTAGACGCCTCACAAACAACGAGACTCCCACAAACAACGAGAGGCATCATAAACAACAACACATCTCATTAACCACGAGACCTCTCACTAATAACGAGATCCCCCCCCCCAAAAAAAAATAAGGATCCTCACTAAAAACGAAAACTCTCATAAAACAACGTTACTAGATGGACTGATCTCTGACAGTTTCTCGTTCTCACAGTTAATGTACGAGAATTAGTCATTAAACTGCGCTAGTTAGTCATTCAATCAATCAAGTTATTCAAACCAGTTACACAGTCAGTTAGCTAGTTATTCAATGAGTAAGATAGTTAATTCATCAGTTACTGAGTGGATGAACGAGTGACTTAATCACTTGAGTCAGTCCATCACTCACTCAATTAGTCGGTTAGTCAATCAGTCACGCATCCAAGCAATCAGTCAGTCAATTAGTCAGATAGTTACTCAGACCGATCCTTCACCCACTCAGTTCTTTCAATCAATCAGCCAGTCACTCGTGGAGGGAGTTGACATTCATTGGAGAGGTAAAAAAAAAAGCGATTCACAAATAGTCTGGTACAGATGAAACATAATCTGAGGCGAATAAAGTCCAGCTTGTTCCCGGAAACATTCTTAAAGCGGAGAGGAGAGAAGAGGCCTGTGTTACCTCCGAGCCAACTTCACTTGTTGGTGCATGTGTGGCAGGGACGCTTCTCTCTCTCTCTCTCTCTCTCTCTCTCTCTCTCTCTCTCTCTCTCTTTGTTATTTCTTAGTTCTTTCATGATTCTTCTCTGTTTACCTTTATGTATACCTGTCTGTCACTTTCCTCTCCATATTTATTTCTCTCTCTTCGTGACTTTTTTATCTTGTTTCTTCCTGTTTCCCTTTCTATGTATCTGTCTCTTTCTCTCATTCACTCTCTAGGTATCTTTTCTTCAATCTGTTTTCTCTCCGCATGTCTATTTCTCTTTGTCTCACTTTCTCCTGGGGGCACTGACTCGCACTCTCCTGTCTCTCTCCCGCCCTCCCCCTCTCTTTACTTCTCTGTCATTTTCGCTCCCTTGCATCTCCTCATCTTATTAAAATTTCGGTCTCTCCCATTTTTGTTATGATTATCTCCCCCCCCCCCTCTATTTGCCTCTATCTCTCTCTCACATATACAAAATCCGAAATTATCATTATCGTTATTGCTATTACATTCTGCCTATCTCTACACCCAGTCTTCCAAATGTTCAACCTTTCCCCCATTCCTTCTCCCTATATCTACAGTATTCCTCATCATCTTGTTTCTCTTCATCCTATCTTTATACAATTAGTCACTTTACATTCAGTATCTTTACATCCAGCCGTTCCACATCCAGTTTCTCCACATCCACATATACTCAGTAGGTCGTTAAGAACACGTGTGGAAAATAGTTATTCACTCACTGGTACCGCCTTAAAAGTATATCTCATCAGAAGACATGAATGGTGCGTGTGGCTCGCTAGCGTTATCTCGATTCTAACTGGAATCTACTTAGCCACAGACTACCTCAAAGAAAATGGAGGTGGGGTGATATTTTGTGACTCTCAAAGTGCTTTGAAATCAATGAACAGCCCGTCAGGTTCTATGTCTAAAGTTGCATGTGATATTAAAAGAAATGTGATAACTGCCAATGAGAACAACTTTCGTATCGAATTTGTGTGGATTCCGTCCCATGTTGGAATCAGGTATAATGACCGTGCTGATAGACTGGCCAATGAGGCATGTAAGAAAGAAAATGTTGACCGTGACCTTGGTCTGTCCAATGCTGTAATTAAAAACATTCAAGTCAGAATCATGAACTCTGATCTAGAAGAAGTGAGAAATGCAGAGAGACCTGACAGTTGTAGCATTAGTAAATATGACAAATTTTGTAACAAGAGGTACCGGTATGGCCAGCATAAGGACAGAACCAGACAATGTGATGTAGTCGTGGCCAGAATTAGGCTAGGATACAGACACATCTGGCAAGTTAGTAACGCTGTACCCATACCGGAACACTCAGCATGTAAACTTTGTGATAAACCTTTAAAGCATACACTTGAACACTATATTATTGAATGTGACACTGTCAAAGACTTCAGGCCACCTGACTTATTGTTTCTTGAACTATGTAATTACTTCATTGAATCAGGTGTGCTTGAGGACATTCTTGCTGTTTATCCCAAATTTGCTAGCCCACACTGATTAGTCTTCAATTAGAATATGACTCCAGTGTATGTGATCCACTGACCTATATATGCTGCTGGTGAATGTGATGTATTTCCTTCTTTGTGTACGAACCTCTGTCCTGCGTGGCAGTGAACAGTGGCATTACCCACATGAATCTGACCTATATATAGTGTCAATGAATATGATGCATTCTTTGTGTACGAACCTCTGTCCTGTATGGCAGTGAAAAGTGACATTACCCACATGAATCTGACCGACGTATATGTATGTATGTGTGCGTGTGTGTATGTACATGTACATGTATATGTGTATGTATATATGCATATGTATGTATATGTGAGTGTGTGTTTACATATATGTATATGTACTGTCAATGAATATGATGCATCTCTTTGTGTACGAACCTCTGTCCTGCATGGCAGTGAACAGTGACATTACCCATTTGAATCTGACCTCTATACATTTATAGTTGTTAATGTATATGATGTATTTCTTTGTGTATGAACCTCTGTCCTGCGTTGCAGTGAGAAGTGATACCACCCTCAGTGTCAAGACCTGACTGAATTACTCAGAATAGGCAAACTGTACTACAAGCTCTGCCAATAAATTTGTTAAACTAAAAAAAGTTATTTCGATAATAAAAAGTATTCCAACAATTCTACGAAGGAAAAAAACGTGTGCATAAGTATTTTTATAACTTGGTATTATTTATATACACCACTATACCGTGAGAGAAATGCTTTGGGAAATATGTGGGACTGCATGAATAGTACGTACAATACAAAGATGCAGGATGAAACCAACTAGGTATTTTCTTTTTACTATTATCAGAGGGCTGCAAACCTATTGTTATCTGATCTTGATGTTAAGAGCAATTTGTGGTAGGCCAGTTTTGATTAGAACCACCAAAATGTGGGAAGCGTATCAAAATTAACTCCAAATTATCAGATATAATAAGCGGGTGGTAACAAAGAGGTTATTGACTCCCCCCGTGGTGTGGCAGTGAGTTCATAAGCACGCCCAACTTTTCTTTTCTTTACCGTCTGACGTATGAGGTGTGCAAAGGGCAAGGATATGATAAGTGCAAATAATGAAAACAGAATGTAAGTTATATAAAGTTCGAAGGGTGAACTAAATGAGGAATAGGAAGGCAGGAATCATAATGAATCAGAGAAAGGAGAGAAAAATGAGTGGGTGGAGAATGGTTGACCAACTTCATATGCATTTCTACGTTTGGAAATCTATTACACATCTCTACATTTGAGTCACATGCTTATTGGAAATTTCGTTTCTCCTAGCCGGTCAAAATTTAGATCAGTTGTACTAAACTTGGACAATTCCCTAAATGTGCATTTTCCTGAACAGAAAGATTTAATTTATCTGAATAATACTTATGAAGAAAATAATAATGCAGACAAAAATGTGAAAAGGGAAAATGTGTGAGGTTTATGAGAGAGGGCAGAGGAAACCTAGCTCAGTAGAGACGTGAAACGAGTAAATAATATAAACGAGAAACGTTACTATGGAGACAGAGGATGTAAGTAGGAGATTACATTTACCATTTGTTTTTTAATTCCAGAAAATATGTAATTAATTAGTAGATAAATTAGGCTTAAATGTATAATTTCTTCATATTTAACTACATTTGTGTCAAATATCCACCATAGTACCGTAATTGATGAAACTCAACTCTCGTCAGTGGTAGGTACTGATCATTATTCTTGCCACTGACGAGTTGCCCATTACCATGATAAATGTATTTATTTATACTCGCCGCTACCTCCAGTGTCCGAAATATTGTAGTTAACTGATTATACCAAATTATTTCAGTATTGATGTAAATTGTAGTACGTCATTCTCCATTCATCATGCTTGACAGAATTTGCCTTTGTGGATAAAATATTGGTATGTTGGCATTAAAGGATTTTATTTTGTTACAGTTCCCGCCAGCTAAGACAGATGGCGCGCAGACCTCCTAACGTAAACAAAAGAAAAGGGAAGCGTCGGAGGCTTATTTGAAACTGTTCACACGACTTTAAATAAAATTTGCTAAAATATATTATTTCCATCTATTATAAAAATATGTTTCATTAATTAATTTAGAAAATATATTATAAGTATCAACTTTTTAATCATATTAATAATGCTTAGCAAATTCTGTTTCTTAAATAATATATAATATATCTTATGTTATTAAATTATACAAAATAAAAACTTATGACAATATCAGATATTTATTTAATTGTGCGTTACGAAGATTATGATAATACTCTTATGAAATGAACGTCATTAAATGTGAATATGTATCTTGCAATTAATGTTTGGAAGTCAAATTCACAATAATTCGGACAGTGGCTGTTCACCGCTTGTTGTATACCGGGAACGACTACCGTGTTGTCTCCAGACGTGAACTCTTGTTTTCATTGAACTTTTATAGAATGACACCCGAAAAGCGACCAGCAGAAGACGAGGAGGAGCAGGAGTCAAAGAAGCTGAAAGAGGACTCCCCTCCACCAGTAACAGAAGCCTTGCAAGATGAGACTAGCCAAGACAGTGATGCATCCGACTCTGCCACTTCTTCTGATCCCGAGAAAAAGGTAAATGATGCCGCTGCCTCCATCACCATCTCATCTATTACTATTATCCATTTGCCGAGTGTTGATGCCCTGTCAAACGTTCACTTGTACCTACCGGAAGATTTGCAGGAGAAAAGATATCCGTAGTAACTTCATTCCTGACCCAGTATGTCTTTTAAATGTCGATGACATCACGTACCCGGTATTTTAATGATGGAATTAAAGTTTTGTGAGCTGACATAATTTAACTCAATGATCATTAATATGGAAAAGACAGGCAGCAATGAGCTACCGTAGTTACTGTTCTGTTTTTATTATTCGGAAGTGGCTCCATACCTAGCAGCAGTAAGAAATGTAATTACAGATATCATAAAGTAAACCAGTTATTACTGACAGCAAAAGTTAATATCTTAGAAAGAGCAATTTAAGGAAAAGATGGTAAATTTGCATTAGTGCACACAACTCTGTTAGAAAGTCAAAACTATTTTTTTCTATTGTATTTTTGTGTTTTGATTTGTATTGACCTTCATTTCCGCCGGAAATTGCCTTTTTTTTATTGAAGTTATCTGAGGTTTTGGGTGGGGCGTTTTCCAATAAAAATCATGGCCAAACCTATACAAATTACACCCAAAAAAACATAAACCGAACCTTACCTTACCTAACCTGACCTGACCTAACCGGACCTGACCTGACCTAACCTAACTGTCACCATATGATGGAATCACTCATTTCTTACTTTATTGGCCTGGTTCATGCCAACTATGTTGGTCTTGACGATATTTATACTTGTTCTTACACTTAGGACACTATCTGAGTTTTTTTAATTTTTTACTAATTGCATAAAAATAGTATTTTTAAACGATAAAAACAGTATTTTTCAACCAAAGCTTATTCAGGATAAGAAACAAAATTGGCCTTAAGATATTTATGCAGTAGATGTACCAATGGAATTTAACACAATAATATTCTTTTTGTAAAATAAAAGAAAGCTGGTAACATATCTTACATTTGAGGGCACAAATCCAAACGTAATAATGAAATTTAACTTAAATGCTCTTATAGGATAACAGTGCTTCAAAAATTAATAACTAAACTTCTTCAAGTCAACAGAATAATATTCTCATTTTGTAAAAAAAATAATGCTGGTAACAAGTTTATTTTCTTACATTTATAGAATTATAGTGTATTAAGAATTACCGGTAATAACTTCAAGTCAACACAATATTCTCATTCTGTAAACAACAAAAATAGTTCAAAACATTTAAATTAGTTTAGTTGAACATTGAAATGCTTATGTACTGTGACAAGCTTAGATGCCTTTTCCTGTCCTAGGCGATTTCTTACCTTTGAGTGTACAAATCCATATGTGGAAAAAATTCTCTCAACCCCTGCTGATGATGCAACAGCTGTAAATAATTGCCTAGGAACATCCATTACATTTTCTGTCATATCATTGGCAAAATACTGCCACCAAGCAAGGGTTGAGAGAGATCTTACAACATCTTTACCAAAATAGACCTCTTTAAATGGCGCACTTCTTCCATGGAAGGACATTAATGTTGAAAGGAAATGTGGAAGAGACTCGCACACATACTGTTCTGCAATGTCTCGCTGCTCAGGAGTCAGATGTCTGCCCTGATACCTTGGATCTATCACATTAGCTAAAAAATGGGCAGGTGTCAATGCTACTTTGATTCTTTTTTTCAAAATTATCCATATCCTTCTTATCTGTTAAATAATCCTTAATATCAGTTTTACCCAGATTTCTACAGCATCACTTAATAGGGTATGTTCTCTCTGGACACAATCCAATGCCACAGCAATAGGCTTAAGTCTCTCTAAATAGTCTTCTGCAGTTCTTTTTAATGCCTTAACATTAACTTTCATTTAAATTTTCTTATCAATGTCTTCACTATTTTCTTTGCACACTTTGACAAGGGTCTCCCAGTTCTTTAAATAAGATTCAATAGAATCTGTCACTGTGTTCCATCGAGTGTCTGATGGCATTACTAGCATTGTTCCTTCTGCTCTTCTATACAAAGATCCTGGGATGTGATGATTTCTGAATTTCAATAGTATTTATTATCTTAGGTAAGAATATATTTCATGTAAATATATACATTAATAATGAGACCTTATGATATGATCAAAGTTTCGCAAAACTGGAGAGAACAGACTTGTACAATACATACTTATGTAAATCCAAATAATGTTATTAGCCTGCTGCATTGCATATACTTTTCAATCATGTAGAATAAAAAGAGAAAACAGTTATTAGTAACAAAATCATTTTGATTTAAATCATGATTTTTTTACTCTGATTTAAGTCGATTTAAATCATGTGATTTAAATCATTTGATTTAAATCATAACAACCTTGATAAATAATGTCCATATACGAATGGCAACACCCTTCACATGCCATGGTGAAATTTGAACTGGCAGAGCAGCGAGCAACAGTGGGTGGCTTCTGATTGGCTGAGTACCGCCACAGCACTGCCGAGAAAGACAAAATGTAATGCGCACATATTCGTCTAAATATTTACCAAATGATTATTATATCAGAACTCACTGATGAAAATATAGTAAGAATATAAACATCAAAACAAATAACTCTTCGGCTGTGAAGTTCACCATATTAGCTGAAACCGTTACCACCAGAAAACGTTAATGAATTTCCTTTGGGCTAATATAGGACTTGTGGCCGTCAGCGGTTCATTAATTATGGGGGATGTTTTTAGACACAGTTTTGTATGATGATTACTTTCACTTCTATTAATTTTCTTGGGTAAATGATTAGTTATCTAGATACAGTACAGGCGAGTTAAGATAGCATTACTTACAGACATGATATTAGCTGCGATGAGTAAACTCGTTTTGGAATACATCATTACTTTAGGACGAAATTGGACAGATTTGCAGCAATCAATTATCTGTAACTCTTGAGGAGGGGGCGGGGCATCTCTTCTCACCTGTGAAAAAATGCACTATAGTAGCTGTATATTTATTGACAAAAAGAAAAACTGAAGACAAAAACCTGAATAGGAAAAATAATATTCCACCATCCAATTTGCTTTATTATTCATGAGGTAAGAAATAAGTTTTCTTCTATAGATATTTTTCTCTAGATGATTGGATAACCCAGACTACTGTCCTTAAATTTTACCATTAAAATAATGCACTTCCATCGTAGAATAGAAGGAAGTTAGGTGAGGTAAATTAGAATAGAAGGAAGTTAGGTGAGGTAAATTTTGTTTGTTTGAATTATCTTTTACAATAAATTGGTCTCTTTGTCGACTGATAATGGCCATCACTTGTAGGGGGAAAATCAGCATAGGTACACAACACACTTCTTTCTCTCTCCCTCTGTCCATCTTCACTACTTCGATACTCTAGATACTGGCAGGCACACCCAATAAAACCTGACATGACCCATAACCCAACATATTATTTGTTTGAGAGTTATCACACTCATTACTGCTTGTGGTAACGACTTTGGATTTACCATAATAGTGGAGACGTTCTGCATACAGTGGCTGGCCTGACATGAATGGGGGAGGTGGTTGGGTGTTACTGGGTTAGTACCGCATGAACAAAATTTTGCCAGGGAGTGTTAAATATTAATTCTGGTGCCCTAGCTACTCTGTGGTGCAATGTATAGCACTTAATACCCAAAATATTGGGTTGCTACAGCACCCTCCTCCCTTCCCACATCCATGTACTGGGTGGAGTGAGCCAGCACACACCAGACCGACCAAGCTTGGAGTGCAGTGTGGCGAGTGTTACCCACATGGCCAGATATGCTGAGATTTTACAAGATAATTTTATATATCTCTGCATTTCCCAAGTTATACTGTAATACATTCCGAGACCATACCCATGCTGAGTTATCGAGGGTTTACTGTACAATCCATACTTCACTTTAACTACTAATCGGTACTCTGAAAATGGTCGTTAAAGTGAAAATCGTTAATGTGGTGAGTATAGTTTACATGCTAAATGGGTCAGTTGGTACCAGCCCTCACCCCTTATAAACCCCATAAAAAATTACAACCACTTGTTCACACATTAATACTGCATGTAGAGTTAATAACTAATAATAACTCACCTTTAGACACTCATTGAACTGCTTAATGAGACTGTTGTCATCTGAGGCAGGGGAGTGGTGTTAGTGCCCCCCTGCTCCCACACTGTGCTGCTTCCACAGCACCACCACCAACTGATCCTTCAGTCTCAAAGCTAGTGAAGTCTAGTGGTAAATCTAACAGATCACACACAGGTAAATCTTGAACATTATCATCATCAGTGCAGTGAGCAGGTTACAGTACACCACCTGTTCACACGCTCTGATCGAAACAAGCCACCCTGCTCGCTTACATCAACAAGATGGTCTCCCATAGTGACCATCAACTTGTGTTACTGATAGTTATTGTGTTGAAATGTATAATTAATGTGTTGAGCTATTGTATTTCGTTACTGTCACTATTGTGATGACTTGTTAATGTGAAACTTGTTAAAGTGAAATACTGTATGTACTGTACAGCCAAATTGTTGAATGCTCTTCCTTCTTCTGTGTTTCCATCCTCTTACAATCTGTCTCGCTTCAAAAAACTGGTTTTCCGGCATCTTCATGGTGTAGGTTAGCATAGTCATAATTTTTTCATTTAAAATTCTTTCATGTTGCAGGAGCTTGATCTACCAGAAGAACGTGGGACTCTAGTGTACACAGGATGTACCCAGTGGGAGTATATTGGAAGACGCAACTTGAAGAGTATTCCCTCTATGATACATTATGGACCACGACTCATTTCTGCTCTCAAGGGAATTCGTGTGGCCTTTGTGACATCTCACTGCTCTGCAGTCCATTCAATCATCATCACAGAGGAGGGCAAAGCAATGGCTCTTGGTGGGTGATTTACTTAGCACCAGTTTTGGGGAAAGTTTAGTACTGTAATATATCATTCCTTGGTTATAAAAATTAATGAATTTTTATTTATTTTTTATTTTTTTTTACAGGTGGAAGTCATAGAATTTTATAAAATGTAGTTCTTGAATTTTATGTCATTTATGTGTGTGTGCGTGCGTGCGTGCATGCATGCGTGCGTGCGTGCTTGCATGTGTGTGAGTGCGCATGCATACGTATACTGTACTGGTATGTATGTAACTGTCATTTGTATCTTTCTAAATACTGAAGTGAAGTTTAGGAATTCTGCTGTACAGTAGAACCTTGATAAATCGAACTAGTTGGGCAGACCCCAGTCAGAAAAAAGCGAATACTGTATATGGGAGGGGGAGGGTTGGAGATAACACTGTTTATTAAGTTGATGTTATGTTATTACTGCAATTTAACAACTAAGGTCTTTAAGTGTATTACGAGGTTAATAAGAAAATATTGCATTCACAAAAAAAATATGAAACAGAACTCTATGGGTTGAAAATCATGCAAATAAGTCTGGTTACCAACAACTTATGTCATCGAGATGTTTGTTATTTACTGTAAAGTGTTATATGTACTGTAAGTAACTACAGAAGCTTTCTTGTGAATAAAGAGAAAACTGTATACAGTACAGTTTTAGAAAGATAAAAATACTGTAAGAACAAATAAGTGTAGGAGTGTATTGTATGTGGAAGACGAGTGTTTATCTGGGAGCAGCTGGCACTGGTGGGTGGCTCCCTCCCCTAAGATTCCTTTAACACTTCTTTATGCAATTTCACCATAATTCTCATATAATTTAGGATCATTTGGTGGCAGGTTGATAACTTAATATTATCCTAAAAGAATCCCACATTGAACACCATGAGTCATTTGTTTACAAAGAAGAAATAGAATATTGGCTTACCACAATGTCTTCAACACTTAGTAAATTAGCACAGTACAGTAGTGATTTATCATCGCTTAATAAATACTATTGCAGTGTATGTAGCACCCTTTAATAAATACTATTGTGTATTTATCATCACTTAATAAGTGTATAGTATTATGCATGTGCGTAAACCCTGGTTTATTCATTAATCATTTGTCTTAAGTGTACAAGTAGCCAATCTGAGCCAAAGGTAGTAAATAACGTTTTTAAGAAGGTATCTTCATATCAAATACTATACAGTGTGTTTTTGTGACCCCTGTTGTAAGCTGGACTGCTGAAAGCTCTCACACAAATGCATCTTGAATAAATAACCTTCTGATACAGCTTATCCTTTTATTTTCAAGGTATATTACAAATTATATACAGTATTGTATATTTCTCTATTACTGAAGATGAACCATAAACCAATCATATGAGAGTATAATACTGTTAATGACCCTCCTCCTTTCACCGCTTACCCAGCTTTCACCACTGGTTACCAGCGGCCAGGGTCGTATGTACAGAAGCAGTAGATATCTCACAAGTGTTGTCGAATTACCACTGGTTGTCCCACCAGTCTCCTGTAATTTCCCGACGATTGGTATCAATATACAGACAAACAGGCAGGTAGATTTCCAGCCAGGTCACAGAAACACACTTGTGAACTGTAGTCTTCTCTAATAAGAACTGATTCTTCACAACACTGTTAACAGGGTAATGGCTTCACAGCTGGACTTCTCACTTCGAATATATTCTGTAGTCGGCACACTACCAGTGTACAACTCCTTAGTCTTTTCACTTTGTATTGTTTACAACAATTCCACAATACTTGCACAACCGATAATGTCTTTTTCTAAACCTGCTCTCATATCTCACTCAGTTTTCTTTCAATATTTTTAATTTACATTGCTACATATTTGTCTTTTTTTTTTTTTTTCTGCAGGTCGTAATGAGAAGGGTCAGCTTGGTGTAGGGGATGCTGACATTCGAACTGGTATTGTACCCATCCAGTCAATGGCAGAATCTACTGTGGTAGCAGCTGCAGTGGGTCGCAATCACAGTCTCCTCTTAACTGACCGTGGCAATGTTTTTGCCTGTGGTGACAACAAGTCGGGACAGTGTGGTACAGGCAGTACTAGTGCCATTATTCACACTCCAACCAAGATTTCCTTTAAGGAAAGCAAGATTTGCAAAGTAAGTAAATGATATTGTGCTTGCTTCCACAAGCAAGCATACTCCTCACATAACTTGGTAGCTGTTAATTTAAATCATGTTAATGTAAATGTAATTTCCCCTCAGAATAGAAATGGGGATGTGTGTGTAAGGAGAGAAAAAAGAAATAAATAACTAAGTACAGTCATCTCCCAGTTAGCCAGAATCCTAGGTCCCTGGAACTCTCCAATAGTCAGAATTGATTTTGAGCCAGAAAATTTTCTGGAAAACACTCCATTCCAGCATAGGAACGAATTTCCAAGGATGAAAGTCAGGCGCATTTTCCGGAAAATTTCAGAAAATCTCTACGTTCTGGGCATGGGAACAAATTTTCCTGGAATTTTGAGTGATTACATCCTGCACTGACGCATTCCCATGTGCCGGGCATGTAGGTAGGCTAGCTGCTTGGGTAACTTAGGCTGTAGAAAAGCTTGCTTAGTCATATTCTGCTGCCATTGTACAAGGTTGATCCCTTGCTCTCTGTTGTTTTTGCATACAATTTGTGTTATGTTATAGTGTACCAGGACACAATCAGCCAAGAATACAGTGTTAAGATGTAAAAAGTTATTATGTATTAGCTATGTATACAGTAAAGCCTCAAATAACGATGGTAATGTATCCTCCAATATTGCAGTGTAAGGTGAATCATCGTATCGTGAATTATTAATTACCATTAAAATAAAGCAATAATAATGAGATGCGTTCCCTAGTGTGACCTTTTCATATTTTTTGTGTGGCTTTTTACTCTCTTTTCCCCTCACGCAATACCTGTATAAGTCAATAATAATATGGTCACACAAGAGATGGGATGCCATTGTTGTTGTCTGTGTTTACATCCACGATGACAGTTCTCCATCTGAAACTGAAGAATAAAAGACCGGGGTAAATGCAATGCATAATACTTTACACTACAATATTACTTATTGATGCTAAATACGCTAAAGTAGTATTTATTAAGTGATGATAAATACACAACTGTACTGTATTAATTTACTAAGTGTTGAAGACACATTGTGGGATTTTTTTCAGGAATGCTGATTCTTTTATGATAATATTTTATCAACCTGGCATCAAATGATCCTAACTTATAGGAGAATTGTGGTGGAATTGCATAAAGAAGTGTTAAAGGAATCTTGTGGGAGTTAGGGGGAGGGAGCCACCCACCCCATGCTAACCCCCCTCCCCTCTGCCAGCTGCTTCCAGATAAACATCTTCCACATACAGTATTTTCCTACACTTATTTGTTCTTATTTTATCTTTACAGTACTGTACTGTATACAGTTCTCTCTTTATTGATAAGACAAATTATGTGGTTACTTGCATATAACACTTTACAGTAAATAACAATCATTTCAGTGACAACCAGACTTGTATGTCTGATTTTCAACCCAGAGTTGTTTCATATTTTTTTCTTGTTGATGTAATATTCTTTTAATAACCTTATTATACTCCTAAAGACCCAAGTTGTTGAAGTGCGGTAATAACATAGCAACAACTGATTTTCTTTAAACAGTTCAGTTTAGCAATGTTATCTCTTCCCTCCCACCAAGAGCCCCCTTTTCTGTTGAATTAATGAGAATATAATGTAGTTTGCAATTTTGCATTTTCTAACAAAATTTAATAAGAAAAAGCCCACTTGATATTGGTGAAAATACTTAACAAAAGAAACCTCAAAACAAATTTTTTTACCTCAAGTTGATGAAAACCACTTGCTGATTTGTATCAGGCCATCCCTAAGAACATTTCTGTGGCTACGAGTAGTGTGGCAATCTGTTTAGGTAATATTTTTGCACTTACAAAATTTTATGAAAGCAAAACTAATGTTATATCATGCAAAAAGCCTAATTTGGAAGAGTTGGGTGGGTGATTTAAAGAGAAGTTGCCAAGTGATATGCTTACACTAGTCTCATTCTCACTACTAAGGTGTGAAGAGATTTTTAATCAGATGTGTGGGGCCTAGGGGGCGAAAATGTAATAATAATAATAATAATAATAATAATAATAATAATAATAAAGAACCATAAAGAAATACAAATTGAAAAAAAAATTTAGTGAGAAACAATATACAGTATATATGTTGTGTTGTCAATAGTAAGAGAAACAATTGAGACCCTGCAATTGTGTGTAAATGAGGCAAAAAGTCAGATCAGCAACCTGGAACTTGGTCACAATTTCCATGATGCCATATGACAGCAGAGTCTACCATAGACAACACATTATGCTTCCAATATCTTCCCAGGCGGTAGTACCTCCCTGTTTGGTAGCTGCCTAATACCTACTACCTGTTGACTCCAAGATGAAAAGTGTGGCTGAGTACAAATTAATAAACAGAGATTACATTACTGCTGTGTTCTAATGCTTCCAGTTTGCATAGTTTAAAACAATTATTCATTGGCAAGTGTAAAACCAGCTATGATCAGGCCTTCTGTTTCCAGTTGGAACATGTTGTTGTGTTTATCAACATTCTTCTGAGGGCCATAGTTGTGATGGTGAGGGATGGGCGATCATTAATAATTATCCTTTTACAAAAAAATTTGATTAAATTCCTATTAGCGCTGATTGATAGTTTGATGTTTAACTTGTTAATTAAAAAAAAACCCTGCATTGACCCCCATCACCTCTGGTGTCGTAGTCTGTCTGTTGTAAAAACCTGGGAATTGTAACAAATAGAAATGGGTTTTGATTAAACTTGCTATGTTGATGTAATCCAGTAAAATCTGAGACACATTAAAACAGTTTGCATTTTCTCCTCACAACATAGGGAGTTATGAAGGGACCCTTGTGATCAACTTGTTTCATGTTGCTCCAATATGTTCTTTCTTGCATGGTGCATTTTGAGCTGTAATGGGCAAAATTTATTGTAACTTTTTGTTTTACTTTCAGGTGGCATGTGGTGCAGAATTCAGCATGATTATTGACAAGAAAGGCTATCTGTATTCCTTTGGTCTACCAGAATATGGTCAGTTGGGTCACAATACTGATGGAAAGTTTTTCATTTCTTGCACTAAACTGTCATACCAGCATGAACGAGTGCCAAGACGAGTTCCCATATTTGTGGAACGGAGTAAAGATGGACACCCCACACCTGTCACAGATGTGCAGATTGTAGACATTGCTTGTGGAAACAACCATACAGTAAGTCTCTGCAAGATATGTTTTGATGCTATTTTTTTGGGGGGGGGGATTCTTTAAGATTAGTTGGTTAAAGGTTCATAGTGTGTGTTTTTTATGTTTTTTTTGTTTTTTTAATCAGTTTACACCTTAACTACATTCTTCCCCAGTTAGTGTTTGTTACTATGCTTTCTGAATGGAAACAGTAATAGACTAGAGAAATGTGTGCAGTTCAGTGTCTCCTTATCTTGAACTTGTTTTATGTCTCAAAATTATGGAATTATTCCATATGCCATTTCACGAAAACAGATTAGTGAAAATGTCTAAAACTGAATAACATGACAATAACATTTCTTCATTTGTCAACTTGATTAACAATTCTACATTCAAAACAATATAATATTGAAGAAAAGAGTCCACACTGTCTGGTTTAAGTTTTATTTCCATTTTTCATTTATTTTTTTATTATTGAATGGGATGATTATTCTTTTATTTTTTCTCTAGTTAAATTTAATTTTGGCATTCTTGATTGCCATCCAGACATCTTATGTAACATCAAAATTGATTTTTGTTATGAATCATTCCTTGTGATAACCATGTTTTTATATTATTTCACCAACTTGCAAAATGTGAAACACCATATATGTTTGCTACAACGGTTTAACACATCTTGGAATAGAGTACTTTTTTCCTTTTTGTTTTTTGTTTTTTTGCTCCAATTTATAAACTTATTTGCACCTGATCATCCTCATATACAGTGTACTGTACAGCATGACCTGACAATTCGCAGATTTTTAATTCGGGAACCTCGATTATTCGCAGATGACACCCTGGATGTACCCAAGACTGTCTAAGGATAGTTTTAAAGTTGCTGGCATTTTTGTAGTGGGTTATACATACAAATCCATAATAATGGGAGATTCCTCTCACAAATAATCAGAAACAAGACAGCAAAATGTATTAAAAATGTGAGAGAGTACCCTCAAGTCAACTCCGTGCTTTGTTATTAAAGTCAACTTTAATAACAAAACACGGAGTTGACTTTAGGGTAGACTCTTACATTTTTAATTCATTTTGTTTTCTTGTTTCTGATTACTGTATTTGCAAAAGGATTTTCCCATTTTTATTTAATTGTATGTATTTTGTGTGTCTACACACACACACACACATACAGTAGGGTCAGGATATATCGCAACTATTTTGCGATTTTTTATATCGCGGCGACCAAAATGATCGAAATTTTCCGATATATATAGCGATAATATTTAATATGGAATACTCACAGGTAGCAGGTGACCAACTGGGTCAGAGATAGGGAGCCAAGTGACCAGCCATACGATCACACCCCGCACTATGACCCGGTTCGAACTACCCATGAGCAACACCTGCTTCAGGTACAGAGAACAAACCCAACACTGAACAACACATTTCCAGCAATCATTGGACTGGAATATAAACCCCTTACACATCGAGCCTGTGTTTTCATCAACACAAAGGCAAGAACTCCTTGTCCCTTCGTGTCCTTTGTTGGGTCAGATCTCTATTGTCTCTCATTACTGTAGGGGGGATCAAGTTAGGTACACGTACACCTGCTCCATCTGTTGTTGTTCTTCTGGACTGGACTACTTTGGTCTGATAGACAATCATTATACGTACCTCCATAGATTCACTTTATATAGAGTTTCACTTTTTCCAGACTGGGGTCTGCCCCAATTAGTCCAGTGTATTGAGGTATTACTGTAATGTGAAGCTGTTTACTGTAATACTGTTAATAATAGATGTTTGACTTTGATTTCAAATGTGTTTCCTGTAAACTTATATATTTTGAAGATTGGCCTTTTTTTTTTTTAATTGTGTATAATGAAGAGAATTTTCTTCTAGGTTGCAGTTGATGCCAAGAAGAGAGCCTTTTCTTGGGGCTTTGGTGGGTATGGAAGACTGGGTCATGCTGAACCCAAGGATGAATACATTCCACGTCTGATCAAGTATTTTGATGGCCATAATCGTGGTGTTGTAAAAATATATTGTGGTTCTACCTTTACTGTTGGAATCAGTGTCTTGGGAATCTTCCTGTGGGGTCAGACCAGACGCACTGGAGAAGCCAATATGTACCCCAAACCACTACAGGACCTTTGTGGCTGGGATGTGAGATCTGTTGGGTGTTCTGCCACATCTATTGTGGTGGCTGCAGATGAAAGTGTCATATCATGGGGTCCCTCTCCAACTTATGGTGAACTGGTAAGAAATATTAGTGTAATAAATGTATTATAGTTGTATGAGTTCATTCAGCTCTTTAATGTCCTTTTATTTTTGTGATATTTTCATATTGAAAGTATTAGCCAGAAGTGCTGCAAAACACACAGACACACACCCACCCGCCATGTATCAATTTTATTGTTTATCATAGCAATTTTTTTTTAAAGCAGTTACAGCGCTACAGGTGCCAGGCACGCAAATAAATGAGCAGTTGCTTTCTGACTGTTGGACTAAATTTGAATTTTTACCAAAGTGGACAAAGTTTGGATACCGGGAGAATTTAGATAGTTGGAATTCAGATTAAATGAATTGCACTGTAAATTAAATAAAATCTACAACATTAGATTTACCTTAATAGTGGATACGTGTTGCATGCAGTAACTGGCCTGACATGATTGGGGAAGGTTGGGTGTTACTGGGTTAGTGCGGCAGGAACCAATTTTTACCAGGGAGTGCATTATAGTGCCCTAGATACAAAAATAATCCACAGCCATAAAATTTATTTAGGTGTGGATTTCTTGGTGTTTGCTACAGTAGGGTCAGGATATATTGCGAGATAGGGTCCAAGGATGTTCGCCATTTACTAAATCGGGATATATAATTACATATAATTAATGAGGAAAATAAGGTTAGGTTCTGGAGGCCAATAAAAGTGACTACTAAGCTCGACTTAACGAGTTTATTTTCTTACTAAATAAAGCACCAATAAACACTAGACTCGGGAACACTAGACTGTTTCAATATCAAGGAATACCAGACTCGGCAGCTGACGCGCCATCCCGGGAACACCAGACTCGGCAGCTGACGCGCCATCCCGGGAACACCAGACTCGGCAGCAAACCCCACACTGCCACCCTCACTTGACAATCCCGCACCTACATAAACAAACAAACCAAAAAACATTAGTTACAGTATTAAATCTTTCCGTTAAGCTTTCCATTCTCTTCACTTCACTTTTCACGTCACTAGCAACCCATTTACACTCACCTTAGAAGCCAGAAAGACTGTGTGGGCAAGTGTGAATACGTGAGTGAGCAGCCACGGTGGCGCCTCTGGTGAGCAAATAACCCATTTGTTTGCCATGGCTGTAAAATTGAAATATATCCTGCCCGATTTCCCTCGCGAAATAAATAGATTTATTGCTACACTGTATATTGGAAAATGTTGATAATATTGGTAGTCGCGATATAAAAAAATCTTTATAAAAAATTGCTATATATCCCAACCGTACTATACCACCAAGCGTAGATACACGTTATACCCATGCCATACAAGTATATTATTCAAGACTGTCCAGTGTATGTATTACCCTTAGTCAAGATGAGTGGAAAGAGGCCATCAAGTGCAAGTGAAAACAGCAGTGTTAAAAAAGCCAGTAAAGGAATTACTGTACATTGGATATAAAATATGTTTAATGGAGTTTTATGCAGTAGAAAAACTTAGTCAGATTCCAAAAACATTAGGGCTTGCTCCATCTCCCAATAATTCCCATTGCACCACCTCACCTCATGTAGCACATGACATTGTCTGTGGTGAGTTAAATTCAGATGTTTTGTGAACAGTATTTATTATCATATATTGTGAAATGATCAATGTATGTGTTTAATAATGTTTATTTTCATTCAAAAGTGTGTTTGTATTACTTATTTTTTGCCATTTTTTTTTTTAGGAACATATCTCCAATTACAAAAAGGGAGTTGGTGGGAAAATGGGGATCACCCGAGGAATTACTGTACTTGTAGTTATTTTGTGTTTGTAAGAGAGTGACATCACACTGAGAGCATAATTATTGACTTAATGACGTTGTTAGTCTTGGAGAATAATGAAGTAAGTTAGTGTACAGGTAATTGTAGAAACTAATAAAGGCACTACAGTATAATATAATCAAGCTGGTTCAATTAGTATGGTATATTACATGCTTGCCATGGACAGATGCTCATGATGATATCAATTTTATGTAATTTTCCACTTAATGGAAGCCTCTTGTTCCCAAGCATTTCAGATGACAGTTACTATACTTTACTCTATTAGCAAGATCAAATTATTTTGATACCACAATGAATGTTTTCTTTGTTTCAGGGTTTAGGTGACAACATCAAGTCAAGCACACAACCTAAAGAGGTAAAGGCATTAGAAGGAGCTCACGTGTCACAAGTTGCATGTGGCATGGGGCACACACTGATGATGGTGCGTGATGAGACAGAGCAAGACAAAGAAATTTTGGAGAAACTGAAAGAAATCACTCTTTAAAGGAAGTGATACCTTCAAAGAGGATTGCTTAGATATTTGAAAATATCTTGAAGTGTGTTTATAATACACTAAAATAATTTCACAATATACTGAATACTGTACAAAGCTGTTTGTGCAGTTTTCGTGTTATCAGAATTTAGATGTCAAGGATATTTGAATTTTATTAAGTAAATTTTGTAACAAGTTTATATTATGTGGGAGAAACAGCATAACTCAGTTATTGCTTGTTTTTAATTATGAAGGTAACTTGAAGAAATAATTGGTCTCCATTAGGAAACAGATACTAATTATATCCCTATTAACTCAGTACCTGGGTTAAAATATTTTGGTACAATCCTGATCATAAATTGTGTTTCCCATGAATACTTTCTGGGTAGCTACCTCTTCTACCTCGTGCCAGGTGGAGGTTAATATAATAGATTAAGTGAATCTATCATTCATAGACTTTTCTACTTTTAAGGATATAGGTAAACCTGGTGGCTGATGAAGTATTAATTTTGGTTGATTTTCCATGTCAAAGGTGGTTAAGTTAAGGCCTACAAGTAGTTTAGGCAATTTATTTATTTATTTTTACTTTCAGGTGTATGATTATGTTGGTAGCCTCAGGATATTTACCTGTTGAGTGTTTAGTTGCATCAGTAGAAAGAGGTATTACAAACTAACCATGATTATAACTGGTACTTCTCTATTGTTAGGGTGCAATTAATTTGACAAATCATTGATCCATGAAACATTTGATGCACTTTGTGTAAATCAGGTTTCACAGTTACATAGCAGCACTTTCATTAAAAAAAAAAATCTATGACAGAATCTGAAGTTTCCTGATTAAATTTATGTTTAAGTACCCAAAAGGGTTTGTATAACTTGAAATGCAGTTATTAAACTTCTTAACTATTTTGATTTTTTTGATGTTGATGTTTTGAGTGATAGAGGTATGTACCTTAACTTTTTTTTTAGGCCAAAGACATGAATTTTTTTTCTCTCTCTATATTGTATATATATGTACAGTAAGTCCTCGTTTAATGTTGCCCCCGACAACGTTGTTTCGTTATGACATCGCTACTCTTTAGATACCCGTGATTTAGACAACGTCCCGACCGATTCGTTATAACGTCGTCACGGACTACTTTGTATGGCGCATCACCCTCTCTCATCTTGGCGCTCTATGCTCTCTCGCAGCGTCACAGCGTCCCCAGCCTTTGTTAGGCTTCCACAGGGTATTTGCGTGTTTAAGTGTTTTTGCTCTAAATTTTGTACTGTAACCATTTGAAATGGCTTCCAAGCACCCATCAAGTGTTAGTGATGCTAGTGTTGTGAAGAAGCAACACAAGATCATTAGCCTTGCTACGAAAATGGAGGTTTTAATCCCTCCAGGTCTCAGTGACTCGCCACCCTCCTCCTCTCTACTTCCCACCCACACACTCGCTCCACCTCTGCCCATCAGTGAGTACAATACAAAATGATTTAGTTTATTTATCGTTTTGGATGTGTAATATATACTAGTTTCTGAAAAGGGAGGCTGGGGAGCGTAACTAGCGTATTTAATCTATTTCTAATGGGAAAAATTTATTCCGTTATCGTTGTTTCCGTTAACGTTGTGGTTTTTCATAAAAGTAACCACAACGTTAAGAGAGGACTTTCTGTATATATATATATACAGTATATATATATATATATATATTTATATATCAAGTACAGTACTTTTTGATAGTGACCCCATGAATTAATACTCTTAAGTGAGAACATTATTGCTTTGGCTTATTGAATAATATATAGTTCTGGTAAGTAGTTTTTATTTTAATTTTTAATAAGTACAGTGCAGTACCCATAGCTTATGATAAATGTCTCACTGATGTATGACACTAGCAATGGAAACACCAAGTCTCTTATTTTTATAATATAGGAAGATATGCTTGACATTAGGGGGAAGCCGTTTGTATGTTTGGTACTGTTTAAAAATGCCCATTGTAGGATTTGTAGTTGTCAGATAAGACTACTTTATGTTGATTGGTCCCAACCATCAGATCATATCTGTAGCTAGAGGGACTAGGCTACTAAGAATGCCACTTGGTGGCATAACAGTTTTTAATATCATGCCTGTTATCTCCAGATGGACTTACTCACCGGTGCCAGTGTTGTTGGTGCTTTTTTTAACAATATTTTGGATATTGCTTCTGGATAACATTTTGATATTATAGTTAAGAGGTAAGTGTCCTCTTGCTGCATCATGTTTTCCTGTGAGATGGAGATAATATATTGTAAACACATTCCACTTAGAATATAACATATACCTCCTTGGGAATGGTCATAATTAACATCTCATTGCTAAATATGTTCATGAACTCTGCCTGACAAGTTGTGAAAGAGGATGATTGATAGATTTGAAAATTTTCTTGATCACTCAGATACAAAGAACTGAACCTCAAAGTCTTTTGTAAGATTGTTGAATACACGAGTAGTTAACTTGTATGTAAGTTGATTTACTACCTCAGTTTGTTTGAGAACTGTACTCTACTGAGGGAGACAGTTTGCTTATAAGACTCGGGGTGTTTGCCCTTACAAATACTGGACTCCTTTTGATGTTCAAGATATATCTCTTTTTAAGGCTTTAAACTATGTATGGTGTAGGTAGTTTAGTATGAAGTTTTACTGGCATAACTTTGTCTTTTGCCAGCATTTTTTTTAACCTGTAAGTCACATTTAGTTGTAAACCATAGTTAGGGCATGTTTTGCAAATATTACGTATTCATATGAGTTTGGTACCCAAATAACATCTGGGTAGCCTGTATATTACCAAGGGCTACTTCAGATTGACCTTATTGGAAGTTCAAGTATATGAAAGTTTTTTATAAAAAGACAATGAAATTTAGTCTGTCCACTTGCTCAGAATTTTTTGAACCTTAGAAAAGAGATGTAACTAAGAAGTCAGGGGAGATCTAGAAGGTTAGTCCTAAACTTATTGTGTACCTGACTTAAATTAGTTTCTCAGTACAGTACCACAAATGGGTCAGAAGCACCCGTAGGATTTCAAGTGGTGATTTTAATATACTGTCCAAACCTTTGTCTTTGCAACAATCAAAGTGCATGATACACTGCCCTTAAACCTAGACTATTGATTGATTTTTTGAATGTTGAGCAGTTGCATGCTCAACTTTTGAGCTCTGAACAACTTCTGGATTTACCAGCCTGCCCTTTGCTCAAATTTATATTGTAACTTGGTTAAATATTTTAATGTAAATATTTGTTTTCATTTCTCTATAACTGCTATTTTTCTTAACCACCAGTGTTAATTTCATTGATGAGGTAAAATACTTGTATTTGCAGTTTGTGCAAAAAAGACACTGCCTTAAGGTTGATTGGTGTTCATGTTACGGACCAAGAGAATTGAAGATTGATATGAATTGCAATAGTTGTGTTGTCCAATGCTTGAAATGCTGAGTTGAACTTGTGCATTTATATACGTAGAAAAATTGATAATAGAGGAAAAACTTGTAACTTATGGAATCTTGTACATCAACAACAAAATAATCCTTTCAGTTTATTATTCTTTGCATTCAAACCTACCAGTTATTAAAAATTTACGAGTTCACATATAATTTTTCCCTGATTTATGAATTTTGGGTTTTAGTGTTTTGGCGTATTTTTAAGTAGTAAAGAACTAAGAATTAAACTTGATATATCCTCACAACACTAAATAATATGCACATAATTAATGTTCCTCTGTTTGTTGGATGTTCTTTGCACTGATATTTGAAAGGTGTATTGAAAGCCTAGTGCTGCAAGTGTTAAAAGTAATTTATAATAATTGACTATATGTTACTTGGGTACAGTACCCCATTTGGTAACCATGTCCAGGTAAGAAGCCAGGCAAAAAGTAAATTTTATTAACTAAAATTACACCATGAGCAAGAGGTGTTAATAAAGAGACAGATATCAGCTAAACACTGGCATTTATGTCATAGTGGAATTCCTTATAATAATGTATTCATCATTACAATATCATAGAAAAATAACTGAAAATGTTGACTCACTTAATGTTGATAGTTGTTAAAGCATTATAGTGTTGAAGTTCTGTATAATAAATGATAAAACAAGGGCTTCCATTTGCAGATCATATGGGAAAACCGTGTAACAATTTTTTGATCACATAGAAATAAACTTCAGGAAAAACATGAATATAGTACAAGTCAGTCTCAAGCTGGGGTAACAAAACATATGTACAGATTTTTAAGCCATAAACGGTGACAATTTTGTGAAAAAGAAATAGTCGCTTCTTAAACCTGATTCTAAGATGTGATTGAGGGTAAATCTTTTGTAATGTAACTATTTATTTAACAAAAAATAATTATCAGCAAGTTAGGTGACTAGGTGAGCATGCTTTGTCTATTATAAGTCATTGAAGAGTATTAGAAAAAGCATTCCTGCTTAGTTAAGGATTCTAATGAATCGAGGTATATTTATTGGCAGTATAGTATTATTGTCTCAATCTGAGAGTTTGGAAAGGTTGACAGGCATGACTCATGCCTTTAGAATACAGGACTGGATTGTATAATTGTATTGTCTATCATTTTGGGTCACCTACTATTTCCACATCCACTTTGTGGCTGACACCAGCCTATTGACTTGGCTCTTTACTTAAGTTAAACAGTTGTCATTTGCTTGCAAAGAGAATGTGTTTATGAATATAAAAAAAAGTAAAGGAGAAATGATAAAATGATGAGAAGACTAAGGGAAAGCAGTTAAACATGAATGGAGATTTCTTAATTTTGGAAAGTGTGAGTTGGTGAGTGAAGATGATCACACAAAAAGCCACCATCAATGAGAGGGAAAACTCTTTCACCCATGGTAGTGCTTCCATGGGTTATCCATGCTAACCAGTCTTTTACCTAAAAAATTTAATTATGTTTTATTTCTGTTGCGACTGACCATTGTATGTAGGAAGACTGGTAATCAAGTATTAAATCGGTATTTCATCTAGAGCTAATTATAGAAAAAGAGTATTGGGATACATTGCTTCTGCTGATCTCAGGCATGCATACATAAATACTGTACAGTGTGTAGTAAATTTTACATCACTTCATGTATGGTCAATATGAAGATTTTTTGCGGTGGGAGTCCTTGAATGTCCCATTCATTTGCTCAGGACAGTGAACCAAGAAGAGTGTATGTGTGCCTCATTAGGTTAAGTTTTCATTTTTCCTTTCTTATACCCTGTAAGCTTGGAGAATAATTTTTTTGATGTTGAGTCTTCCTCTACATTTGTGTATGTTAAAAAGGATATGTATGTTTGCCAGAAAGGCCATATTATTTGTCAAGCCTGCATTGTTTCCAGGCTCATCATGTTAATTACATTTTTGAAGAATCGAGTACAGTACAGAGTATTGCAATTGTTTTTTAAACGGGTATATGAGGCTTTTTTCTTTTTATAAAAAAAACGATTATTATAGACTACTTGCATTCTTTGACAAATACTTTGCCAGGGTTGATTGTTCAGTCATTGTTTGTGTTTAAGCTAACAAGTAACACCAAGTCACATTAGAAAAGTTTGGTCAGGGCAAGTTCCTTTTACAGTTATTTGGGTGCTTAAATGTAGCATAGTCATGAAAGCAGGATTGAAATTTGTGAAATCTTGTGCATAATAAGAAAGATGGAAAGATTAACTTGTAACGTCTTTCAAGCCCACCAATAGAAGTGAACATTATAACATCCTTACCATTGAAGAAGGATCTGTTTCATAAACTTAAATATAAGCTCGCTGTTTTAATCAGTGCTAATTTGCTTTTATGTGTCATTTTACATTTGTAAAATCCACAAAGATGGTAATTTTGATTTTTTGAATGCTAGGCCTCTTGACTCGTTAGTTTTCTTTAATAATTATTAAGTTAAAATTCAGTAAATGGATATTTAGATTACAACTTGAAAGCATTCCTTTAATAATAGATAATTTTTGTGAGTTTCTTAAGACATTTTCAAAATATGTTATGTGGCATAATCAACAAAAATTTGCTTTAAACTACAATATCTTGTTCTCTTGGTAAATTTAGCACTTAACTAGTCTAGGTTTAGGTTTAATCTGTATAGAATATGCATGTACAATTTTATTAGCAGTTTCATGAAGATATTAGATACGTAGGACCACTTTTTACAGCCTATTTATTTTTATACCATGTGTGATGCAACTCATGGACACAATTCATCAGTATTACTGGAATGATTTTTGGCATTATATCAAACTATATTTTTGCAGTACCTCATATATTCAGGATTAATTAGATTTGGGGCAG